CCGCGATTTCAACCCGCCGTCCAAGCTCTGCATGAGCACATACGGACGATCGAGTGGGATACCACCTGCTGACGCGCCGCGGGCCGCAACCTTTCGCACGAGGTCGTGGGCGGTGTTGGTGGGGGGGGGGGGGGGGGACAGGAGGACCCGTTGGTGTCGTTTTCATCAGAACACAGAGACAGTTCCCTCCCCTTGTCTCCATGTGCTCACGCCTCCGCACGCTCCTCCCACGCTTAGCACGTACGACCTTCAGCAGAGGCAGAGAGGCAGCTGGCAGCCGTCATCTGTGAGAGTTCCCATCTCTCTTGTGACACTAACAGGCCTCCGCTGGCGCCTTCCAATAGCCACAAGACATAAAAAAAAGCTCTTTTGAACGGGTACTGTTGTTGCGTGAGTGGCTACCAGGCTCCCGCCCGGCCCCGGCCACTGCTTTCTCTAGGACTCTAGCTGTGGTGTTGCCTGTGCTGTTGGATGGTTCGGAATGGTCTATCCTGGTGGCCCGTCCTTGGGGACTTCCTCTTGGACAGCGCACCCGACACACGCAAGCAGCGTCTCGCGCCACGAAACCCGCGCCAGCGTTGCCTCAGAATACAGTTCCGTAGTACAATAGTAGTCCCACCGTGTGGCCTGGGCCGCCCGGACCCAGAGCTGCTGGGCGCGTTGCAGACAGCGTTGCGCGAGCGTTGCAGAGGCCAGCCTCCTCCGGCTTCTCAGCGTGTCGCGAGTGCTGCTGTGTCTCTATCCTGCCTGGTGGATGGGTGTGTGGTGGGGGGCTCCTAGTGGCTTTTGCTTACAAATTTACGGAATGACGGATTTACGGATCGACCACCCTCCCTCCCCGATCCCCGTCCCGCGGCCCAGCCGTGAGACGCCGATCACGAATCAAGTTGGTGCCGGGTGTGGGCCCATGAGCCATGTGATTTAAGGATCTGGTAAAAGATTGATTCTCGTCCCTGTAAGTATTGATATTGAATATTGACAGCCTCACCTCTACGTATTGACAATATATTGAGGTATTGGTCGCTGATTTTCACCTCCAAAAGTATAAAATGTCGACATTTGTCCCAAACATCGCCCAGATCTTGGCTGAAATCAACAGGCTCGCGAGTTCAAAGCGATTTTGGTGCGACCCAAGCGATTTTGAAGCGATTTGGGCCCATGTTGGGCGATTTTATGGCGTCCGCAAGCTCGGGATGGACCCCTCTCATCAGACATCACTGGATGACTGGATACATCGACACCGTATGTTGAGCCCCCCCTGACCAGCCCAGGCCCCAGCCCCTGTAAGTATTGACAATATATTGGAGATTGATTGCTCCTCTAAGTGTTGGAGAAATATGTATGAGTATGTATTAGTAGGAAGGGCTCGATTGGACGGAGGGTGGACGCGGGGGGGGGGGTATTATTCAATATATTTTAACAGATCCTCTTGAAGCTCAATGTGATTTTGCTATGTGGACCTTTGCGAGAGGTGGCGAGCGGAGCAAAAGCGGTGTAGGCGCGTCCACGCGGCGCAGAGGCTCTCCCGTAACCAACAGCCCCAACGCTTGCCGCTCTTCTTAGATCTTAGTGTCGGGTAGTGACACCAACAAACATTGGACTTGGAGCACTTGGAGCACTTGGAGTGCAGTCGGCAACCTCACATCCAGGGCCGGTGAGCTGAGAAGCGCATCCAGCGGGCCGGATGATCGGTATCGGGTTACGGGCTAGAGAGCCCTAGCCCCGGGGGTGCGCGTTCGCAGGGCAAGGGCCTTAAAGTAAACACGGGTCTCCGAGGGTTAGCTCCGCGCTCCGACTTTTTCTGTCTCTTCACAAAGAAAAGCGCGCTGTCTGCACGCGATCGCGCCGCTCCTCTCCGCCCTTCCCTCCCCCCCCCCACACCCGTCCCACCCTCCCCGCCCCTCCCTCTGCGCTCCCCGCGGCGCGCTGCGTCCCCCCCAAAAATCACTGCTGCCGGCTCCCGTCCGCTCGCCAGGCGCGCATACGAAGACACCGCACGCAGGGGACCTCCAACCATGGCTCAGCACCTTGCGAAGATCTTCGGCACCGAGGCACGCCGCCGCCCGCGCTGCTCCCGCCTCCCCGCTCGCCGCCGCACGCGCTGAGACGCGCCCTCCCGACCCGCACGGTTCACGAGCGTAGGAGGACAAAGTCAACTGCCCATTCTACCTCAAGATGGGGGCGTGCCGGCACGGCGACCGGTGCAGCCGCATCCACAACCGGCCCATCCTCTCGCAGACCGTCCTCCTGCAGAACATGTATCTGCCGCCGCCGCAGCAGTACGACCCGATGGGCAACCCACTCCCGCAGGCGCAGAGACCGGACCCTTCCGAGACACATCCCCAGACAGACCGCCTCTCCGTCGGACGGCCAGCGACGCAGCCACTCGCCCCGAGGCGTCCGACACGCCCACGCCGAGCTCGCCACACGCGAGTCGCCCCTCTCCTCTCCCCACCCTCACCCTCACCTGCCTCTCCCGCCCGCGCGCAGAGCGAGGAGGAGCTGCAGGATCACTTCGAGGAGTTTTACGAGGACATCTTCGAGGAGCTCATCACGGTGGGCGGCGAGCTGGAGCAGCTCCGCGTCTGCGAGAACCTCTCCGACCACCTCGCCGGCAACGTCTACGCAAAGTTCCGCGACGAGGACGACGCGCAGAAAGCGCTCACAAAGCTCATGGTCCGCCGCGCCTAGCCGAGAGAGAGGGCCGTGAGGCCAAAGACTTCTCGG